AAATAAATTGATAACATTTAAATAGGTTAAGATGATTTTTTTTTCATTCTCATGTTCCCCCCCCCCCTCCCCCTTTTCAAGAATATATAGGCCATACTATATATATATATGTGTGCAATAGGACGTTTGTTAAATCAGCTAAAAGCTTAAATAATATGTCAAACTTTTCCAAAAAGTTTCTTTTTTTATCCAAAAATATTCTACGAGAAGAGAGAAACATCTATTGAAACAAACAAAAAAGAAAATCGACACTATTTTACGTTGAAAATGTTGGTGATAAAAATTCTCTTAAATATTTATCTTTTGAACATATACTACAAAATTCATCTTGACTAATAACCATATCTTTATTTTCATCAAATCGTGATATAAACGAATTTAAATGTTGCATAACTTCTTGTTTCAGTTTTTCATTTCCACCTTCACCACGTAGTGATAAAACCATTTTAATAATATTTTCAATTTCGGTATGTGTCAATACGCCATCTTTATTGAAATCATATAATTGGAAGGCGTATTTTAATTTTTCATCTAAATTACCTTTTTCCATTAAATCCATTGCTAATAAAAATTCATCAAAATCAATTTTACCTAGAGCATAATATTTCGGTGTATAAAAATTAATGATAAAAAGAACAAAAATAGACTATTCGTACCAGAATTATCACGATCAAATGTGACAAATATACGTTTGGCAAATTTAGTTGCATCACCTTCGGGAAATGCACGATTATACATTTGAACAAATTGTTTTTGAGTTAACAGACCGTCTGGACAATCTTTTTGAAAACCCTCTAAATAAACAAATCGAAAAATAACTAAGTTTTTCTACTGAAGAAGGTGTATCTGGTAGAGGAAGGGGTGAGATGAAAATTTTCTTTTACGGAAAAAAATTTTCATTCCACAAGATCCCACGGGATTATAATAAATTTTTTTCTCAATAACTATTTCTTATGAATCAGAGTTTCTGTAGCGGCCTTATTTCGTTTATTTTTCTAATTTAGACATATAGAACTGTAAAAATCTCTTTTTTCACATTTATAGATTACAAGACTTTCATAGTAAAAAGATAAACTAGTTACTAACAAAATAAATCCAAAACTCCCATGTGATGATGAAAAAATCATGAGATAAAGTATTTTTTCCGTCCCATATATAGTTTGAAAGTTTGCATCCTGTCTAGGCAAGTAACAGTTACAGTTAACTGTAAAACCGTAACAGTAGTTAGTTATACAGTTTTACCACTACAGTTAACCACCAAAAAACTGTAACTGATGCATGGCTAATCCTGTCCCGTCTCATAAATACTTCGAAAAATTTTGTCTTGTCCCGCAGGATCTCGTAATATCTAGCCTTATCGATGGTAGTAGCAGCTTAATAGCTGCTCTGAAGAGTATCGCTGTCTTCATTGAGAGTATATCTTTCGTTCCTGAGATTCATCGAACGAATGTTTCAAAATTTTTTTGATTTCATTGTTATTTTATTTTCATTGGTCTTTCTCTTTTTATCAATAAATATTGTGACCAAATATTACAGATTTTTAATAGAGAAATTATTTAAATTTATCTGCTAAATACTGTTTGGATAAATCTAACACAAGATTTTTTATCAACCACTATTATCAAATTTAATAAAAGTAAAAATGTTATAACAGTGTAAAAGAATAAATAAAATTTTAGAGTAAAGTAGTCTGATAAGAAGTACATACGAAACCATTTAATAATTTCTTCTTCTGACATCCGTGATTGTTGTTTTAAATTTTGTATTTGTTGATCGGTTAATGTAGCACGAGTCTGCGCTGCTGTTGACTTATTACCCATGTTTTCTACTTTAGTCACGAACGGTTTAAATCTGAAAACAAAAAAGACGATAAAACATACGATTCATTCTAGTTGTATCTATTCATTCATTTCTTCTTCTGACATAAATTATCTTATTATTTGCTCATTTTTTTCTCTCTTACTGAATAATGGTGCTTTTATTATTTGAATTGTGCTTTAAAAATTAACTTCGAATATCGTCGTATGTTTTTTTTTTTTTATCATTAAAACTTAATAGACACAGTTCTTTTATTCTTGTTCTTTCTCTTCTTAAAAAATATAAATACTTCACATATATATATATAGTATGGCCTATATATTCTTGAAAAGGGGGAGGGGGGGGGAACATGAGAATGAAAAAAAATCATCTTAACCTATTTCAATGGTATCAATTGATTTATTTGGTTGATTTTATTCCCCTCATGTGCTTTGATTGCGTGTATGCGCGGATCTAATTATTGAATGTTTAATTTAAATTGTTCTATATCGAGATAAAATCATACAGAAAAATTAATTTAATGTGCACGATTCTGTTGGCTATTGGCGTGCTAGATAATTGTACAAAGAAGAGATAATTTTTTATCATCATCGAAAAAATAAACACTGACACGCCGGCCTAAATGACATATAGATCATAGATGGAAAACATTTTTTTTTGTTAAACTTCACTTTTAATCAGTTCATGACAGAAAAAGATGTTAAAAATAGACGAAAGTTTTCTTAATTACAGTACCTTGGACCGAATGTTAGTGAGTGAAAAATGTTTCGATCATTTCAAATAAATTTCATAGTATGATAAATTTTATATCGAATCTCGAATATTGATCCCGATATACAAAGGAAAGAAAGTATTCAGCTATTTGTAAAATACGCTAACACCCACTAATAGTTCCGAAAATTGGGATCTGGCAGAACCAATAATTACAGTTCGTTATATTTATACACTCTTAAAAATAGTCGTAGATTAATAAACTACAATAAAACAGTTTTTTGGACTAAAAAACTAATAAAAAAACCCCAAACAGTTTTTTAACGGGTTTTTTAGGCCAAAAAACTAAAAAGCGTTCGTGGTCGTTTCAAAATGAAAAACTCACGGTATTTAGGAGAGTTTTTTTAGTCTAAAAAACTCTTTAAAAACCCCTGTTAGTTTTTTGGCCTAAAAAAACCGTTAAAAAACTCTTTTGGGTTTTTTTATCAGTCTTTTAGGCCAAAAAACTCTTTTATTATAGTTAATTAATCTACGACTTTTTTTTAGAGTGTATGGAATAATATTCAAATGGATAGTCAATCATAACTAACAATCAAAAATGGCATCAGCATTTTTCTCACTTTACAATTTAGTAAGTATAAACATAATCCAATATTGAAAGTCTAGTAGCATGTGTACCGTAGTTTTTTTTTTCTTCTTTTTGGTGTTTATGAATCAACTCGACGAACTGTATCTATTGGCTGTGTTAATTTTTAATTCGATACTATCCATGAGTGTTAATATATTTTAAATATACCCAAAGAATTGCTTTTCCATTGAAACCAATATTCTCCAAAGTCAATCGTTACTTCATTAAGCATTCATTTAAGTGTTTTTTCCTTATATAGAGTCACGAACACAAATTCATTCGTGTACACGTATTTTAATCGATCGTTTTCCTATGAAAAAAAAGAAACACATATTACAAAATACTCGAAGAAAAAGAAAAAAATATAAAGTACAAGTGATATATTATTATAATAAAGAGCTTTTAGCATACATACTTCTTGAATTGCAAGATCTTTTCTTTGTCACTGATATCTGTGAAAAAACACAATTGATATTTTTCTTACTTTTTCCATTTCAACTATATTTTTAATATGGAAATCACAAAACATACATGATGTTAACCTCGAAGGAGTATTAGGTTAAAGAATAGATTCTACATAACTCTATATTCTATGAAAAATCTTCTGTCTAGACGATAGTCTAGAGCATTTAACTATAATCTTATTCTATATCATTTTTCTAAATGGACTACTGCTAAGTAACTAATTTGTAATTTTTCTCCTTGAATAGATTTAGTGCACTTAAACAAACAGTTGATAAATTAATATTTATCTATTGATTGTGATAATCCATAGAACATTATTGTTACTTTGATTTAAATTATTTTGTTTAATGTACAATATATAATTAAATGTGACAGAGTTTACGTAGTAGAAAATAATCATTGTAACAAATAGTATAATTAATGAAATGGCATACACTTGAATACACCGAGGAAATCAACATGTTTTTATCTTAAGTAATTATAGTATATTTAATAGTAATGAACATTATTTTTCTTTGTCGAATAGCATAAGTAGACGTAGAAAGAAAACATGAACATTATAGATATGTTTAGCAGCAACATAACATAAAACTAACAATTAAAATTCAATTTCCGTTTTCTTTTCGAATAGCCTAGAGAAAGAAAAGAAAAAGTTTTAAATCTATATTATGAGAATATTTTTATTATACTTTAGAAAATAACAGAGCATAAAAAAATAATCTTGTCATGAACAGAAAAAAAGTGTGTGACTGAGATTTTAGCCTAAAATTTTTACCATTAAAGTGCATACAAGTATAATTTCAAATGGAGCGGAAATTCAGAATTGACTTCTAAACTTTCATTTGGTTATTTTATACTTGTTTGTAAAAATGAGCAGAAAATAAAATATATGGTAATAGTACTTTTTTTTTTCTGTTTTTTCCTATTTTTCGATGTTAAAATTTAATTTAATTGTGTTCCCTGCCTATAGAACATGTAATCATAACAAGAAAAAAATTAGCGAATGAGTTAGTTCGTGAATGTTGGTTGGTATATAATGAAAAAAAAAATTATAAATTGTTAAACCAAGGTTAATAATGAAATCAGAATAACAATGAAATTTGATGTCCAAAAAAAAATGAATTTATTTGTTTATCAGATGTAAACAGAAATTTTAACATAAGACAACAAACATAAATTGAATTAAACTCATGAATAAAAACGTTTTTGTTAGCGTAGATTGTAGGTGTCGTCTAGACATATGATCGAGACGAGACTCTAATGAACTTGAACAACTCAGTGTAATCTTTCTATTTATTTTATTAGAAATTTTTATGGACAAGAAAACAAGAAAAATATTTGTTTTTGTTCACGTTGTTCCTACTCGTATAAGTCTCATATTAGATGTTATTTACCATTTTTATCAACTGATGAAATATATACTCGAATGAACAGTTGCTGTTCGAAAATGTATTTTCCAAAGCAAGTTATTTTATTTTAATGGACTCGTTAAATTTTCTCAATTTTAGTTAGTGTTTTTGTCACTAGTTCCATTTTGAACTCGATTTTTTTTCTTTGAATTTAGAGTAGAGAATGGCAATTGTAAACATGTTTTCGGCTCTGTTTGTGTAATTAGCATAATTCATTTAATTTTAAGTATTTTTTTTTTCATGTTCTTTTGCAAGAAGAGAGATGGAAGAGCTCTCTCCTACGCTAATATAAAACTTTCCCAAAACTGTCTACTCAAAGTCGTTTCTCCGTAGTTTTTGCAATTACCTCAAATGGGGTAAATGCACACAATCAGATGGAGTAATTGCAAAAACTACGGAGAAACGACTTTGAATAGGCGATTTTGAGAAAATTTTTATATTGAGAGCTCTTCCATCTCCCTTCTTGCAAAAGAACATGAAAAAAATACCTAAAATTAAATGAATTATACTAATTACACAAGCAACGCTGAAAAAAAAAACGTTTGCAATTCCGCTTCTCTATTCTATCAATTGTGCCCGGTTGCGTAATGGTAGCAGGCGAATTATGACACAAAGAAAACTTTAGAAGGGGATGCAGACGTTGTTTGTATAGCTTACAGAGCATTTGATAACAAATAAGATGTCATGTCACAAATATCATCGATCAAATAACTTCTCATTCCATGTGCTGTCAAAGATTAGATATGGGTAATATTTAACAAATTAATTATCTCTTTAAAGAACATACATCCGTTCTATACAACCTATATATACGCCACAGTATAAATATGCACTGCTGAATGTCACATGTTTGTTAATTATCTTGTAGAAGAAAAATGTGTCTTTAAGAATATGCTGATCTGTCCGAAGTAATCATGCAATAAAATTGAATTATATATCGAAAAAAATACCTTCACATTATTTATTCACAGAAGCTGAGAATTCGAACCATTTTTGATTTTGGTATACCTACAGTCTTTCATGTTCAAATCATCTTTTTTCTTACGCTTCAATTTCGAACTCTTTATTAAAATAGTATTCAAAAGAATATTATTATTTGTATATATTTATATACGTTTGATTCAAAATGAGTGTTTAGCTCTTTTAATACCACTATTAATAAACGAACAAAAGCAAGATTAAAAAGAACAATGTTATCGGATACTTTATGCGTAGCAAATATAGAAAAAGACATCATTATTCGTAGGATGTATTAAAAATAGAACGATCTGAAAACGATCCAATGTTTTTATTTAACATCACGTAGATAATAAAGAAATAAACAAAATGATTATTGATATGTCTGCATTAATTGAAAATGTATGTAATTATTTTAGAGAAAAAGTATAAATTTAGTAAATACATACGTTTTTTGGCGCATTCACCAAGAAATGAGTAAAGATATCGTAGTGAATTTCTGATATACATCGAAATCTATTTCTATATATCAACTTTTACCTGTTTTCAATTAGATATCTATAAAATCCGAAGGGTGCACATTTAACGTGACGTTGAGAGAACTAAAAAAACCTAGAAGACTTCCGAGTTTTCTGTCACTCTCCTAAAAGTGTATCAATCAACTATATACATTAGTGCTATTAGCTCTATAGAAATCTCTTATATTTAAGCAGTCCAAGTGAAACTCCAGGAGGCTTATTCTTTTCCACCATAAAAGATTCTTCTTTCTTTCTTCTAAATATTAATTTGGACAAAAGACGATTCAAAAATATAAGAGTTGTAGATGATACGT